GTCGCTGGGGATTCCTGGGTGGGGGGGACCCTACTCTCGTCCGGGGGAGGGCATTGGGGGGGTTTGTGGGGGACCTTCTGGTGACTACATGCAGATCTTCAGCTGGTCTGCAGCGGCGATCATGAGTCGCCGATCCGGTGGTCTGGTTGTGCTGGGGTGGGTATGGGCTGGGCATGGGGGGCTTAGGGTCCTGGGGTCGTGCCACCCCTGGGTTACGGTCTTGGTGGGGCTTGGGGGGCATGGGCCCTGGCGGGCGGTTGCCGGGCTCTGGGCCGTTTTGTGCCCTAGTGCCCAGCTCTGGGCTGGGGGCCTTCAGTGCTCTGGTGGGCCAGGGGGCGGTGGTGGCTGGGTGCGGGGCCAGTGACCCATGGAGGGGGTGGGTCAACCCAACCTGGGTGTCTAGTGTGCTAAATGTTCTGAGAGTTATACGAATGTTGGGGCAGGTGTAGTGTTTCTTCTGGGGTGGGGGATGTGTGGATGGCCTTTGGTGGCGGCTGGGGGCTGTGCTGGGGCAGCTGGCTGGTCCCTTAGTGGTGGCAGGGCTCACTCTCGGTGCCTCCTTGCGCTGCCGGCGGCTGGGTGGACACTCTCGGCTGAACCTTCCTCGCTGGGGTTCGGTGGCCTCTGTTGGTCGCGGGCTGGCTGTGGGACTATGGGTCTGGTCTTGGGGGTCTGGATGGCTCCAGGGTGGATGGATTGGTAGTACCCTTCTCTGGTGGTCCCGTGGGCTCTATTTTGTCCGTGGCCTTGGGCTCTCCCAGCCTGGCAGTTGGTCCAGAGGAGGTGGCATTGGGACCTCACTCCCTGGGTGGGTTTCGGGGAGTGGGGGTCCTTACGGGGTCAGTGGGGGAGCTGACTCCCTGCGGGAGCAGTTTGCTCCCTCAGTTGTTTTTCTCCTCATCCCTCACCCCGTACACTTTCAGCTCCACTCATGTAGGGTTTTTGGGGCGCAGATGTTTTGCAAGAGCGACAGTTATACATCTCAGTTTGCCATAACCACCTGAGCCCCAATTTTATTATGCACTTCAGATATTAAATTACAAAAACCTCAGGACATTCACATATAGGAACTTGGGGTGGGCACTCTATGGCAGACAAGGGGCGAGAGGGAATCACTCTTGCCGCTGGCACCTGTGTCCACCCCCAAGGGTTGCTTGTAGACACTTAGGGTCTATTTGGGTTGGAGTTGGGGTGGAGGGAAAACTGACACAATGCACGGAGTTGTTTGGGCTCTCGGATTGTGGCCCCTGGTTGCCATGGCTAGCCCGCTGGCTGGGGTGGCTGCCGGGGTCTGGCTGGTGGTCGGTTGGGGTGTGCGCCTGGCCGTTGGCGGGGTGTAAGGGTGGTCGGGGGTGTTGCTTCGCTGTGGCGGGAGGCCGGCCGGCTGGCCCGGTGCAACCCGGGCTGGGCCTTGGCTGTCTGCTCTTCCGCACCCCAGAATGAATGGGCTTGCCTCCTGGGTTCGGATATGGCCTGCCCTCTGTGGGGGGCGGGTTCGTGTCCTGGACCTGGTGGGTATAGAGTGTGTATCGGGAGTGTGAGTGGGGAGTAGCGTTCTTCTTGTCTGTCTTTGAATGAGTGGGTGTGAGAATGAGGGTGGGACTGTGTGATTGTGTTTGTGTATGATTGAGTATTTGCCAGGCTGGGACTCGGGCTGTCCCCTCATTTGGTTCACCCGAGAGCCCTCTACTAGTGGTGGGCTCTGCCCCTGGCGACGCTGCCCTCTGGTGGGGTGTGCCTCTGCCCGCCGGTGTGCTGGTGGCTCTCCATGTCTGGGGCTGGGTGCTTGGGCATGTGCCGGCTCAGCCTGATGGCTGCCTGGTGGGGCTTGGGTCCTCTGGCCTTGTCGGGCCTTGGTCTGGGGTGGAGGGGGTGCACCCTGTGGATCCAGGTCTCTGTGTCCATGCCTGGTTCTGCTCCGGTGGGGCTTGGGCCGGCAGGGCCTGTGGTCGTAGCTGTTGGCCCTGGGGGTTTTGCTTGTGGTTGCTGGTGGGGCACTCCTGGTTCTCTCCTGTGTTCCTCTCTGGGGGTGAGTGGGTGGTTCTCACTGCGCAGGTGGCCTTGGGGGCTCAGTGCTTGGGGTCTCTCTCGGGGTCTTTGGCTCTGGTCCCCCTTATGTTTACCTTGGGTCTTGGGGGCCGGGTCTGTGGTCCTCCACAGTCACTATTTAATATTCCACTGGAGAAATCTTGTATTTATATGCATGTTCACAACCTCACAAAAATAGACATCTGGATCCTGGAGTTTCTGACAATCACTGGATGTAAATATGTGTGTGTATGTATATATATATATACATACA